AGCCCCGTGGAGCCCAAGCAGGCCTGTGGGCTCCCGTCCCTCACACAGAACTGATACCATGCCCGAGCGTGCAAGTGCATTTCACCTGTCTGAAATGGAAACATTTCAACATTAGCACATTCGAATCAGTATATTATGATCTCTCCATCTCCTGGATTTTTGAAGCAGGGAGAATGGCTTCAGCCAGGCAGGGAAAACATTTGCCTGGGATCTTGCATCTTTTTTTTGTTTTAATTGTTTTTTCCAGAAAGCCCAGAGGAAGATGCCAATGCCTCTTACTTTTCTAGCCTGATATTTCAGCTGTACAGAGTACCCCCAGGTCACAATAGCTTTGTTACGTCCTTTCCGTTCCTGCCTAGTGCCTTGGGACTGATTTCCATTGGTGGTAAACATCCACAGTCCCCACCTGAAGTCAAAAGAAGCCACAGGCGCTTCTCACCTCTCAGGACATGGCCAGAAGCGGGGTACTCGGCCAGCCTGCCAGCCTTTGGCTGCACTGCTGGAGGAAGAGGGGCAAAACTCCTGTACTTTTGCTCCCATATCTGCACAAAAGAGATGTTTTCTGGCCTACCAGCTCTACAGAAGGCAGGAAGAGCTTTGGATATCTGCTTGAGAAAAAGCCCATGTAACATGCACTGTTCCCCTCTTCTAAAAATGGGGATGTTTGGGAAAGAGGGAGGAAAATGGACTAGGGAGTGAGGTTGCCGTAAGAACCCAGTTTTCACAGGTAAGCAGCTCTAGCGTTTGTTAAAAGGCGAGACAGCTGCTGAGTAACGACCGCTAACTGAAGCATGTCTGAAGATCTTATTTTTTATTCCAAGTTCCCTCCGAGGGAACGTGTGCATTATACAAGGTTTATTGGAGACGCACTAAAACCACCAAGATCAGGCACTGAGGAACAAGTGACAAAGAATACACGTGCCTTTTTAAAGCCTTTTGGGTGCCTGTAAGAGGGATGTAATTTTGCACACTCGGTCATTTTGTTATTACAAGTGACAGAATTTTGTGTGTCTCATCTCTCACAGATCAGGTAGTGAAACATCGCAATGTTATCCATCGCTCCTGCAGTCCACTGGCAGAGCAAACCTGGAGCTTGTCAAGAGACAGCAAGAAACCAAGCTGGTTTTAAAGCAAGAGTAAACTAGGCAGGATAAAAATCAAAACGGGGCACAGACTGCAAGGTATAAGGTAGAAAATTCAAGAGGGCAAATGTGGCAAAATCAAAAATGCCGTTTCTGTGCGGGATGTTGATATCAACTAAATAATACGATTTGGGGATTGAGACTAAGACGAAGGCAAAATACCCTATTTTATATCTGCAATCTCATTGCTAGGCATTTACTTTCCACACGGTTTCTAGGACATAATTCAGACACAATATTTTCAAATTCGGCAGTGGGAGGGAAGAGACCTTAGTTATCTACTTCACAGCGAGTTAGCACATCTGAAATCTTCGTTTTGATCTAGATGTCCTTTTTGTTGTACGATGTCAGGACACACTGGGCCACTGTAGGGGTTTTCCGTGTTCCCAGGGACAGATGGTGAGGGACAGATTTTATTCTTTTGTACGGCCATGACTGACTTTAAGAGTCATTTTGGCTGTACAACAGAGAGAATGAGGCCTCATGTCCTTAACGCTTCATTACAGAAAGAGCAAGCTTGGTTTGAAAATGGCGTGGCATTCTAGGACATCAATCCCAAGCCTCGGACGTGGACTTCATGTCAATTATTACTTTAATATTTGTCATGTAACTTTCAAAGTGGCACAACTTGCATAATAACCGCTAATAACTGAGGGAAACGTACCACCCGTGTTTCCTGGGACTCTCCAGTATGTTAAGTGTAAAATACAGAAAGCGATAAAGAACTTGGACAATCAAGGGAGGCAAGAAGGAAAGGATGCCGTCTGTATCCTGGCGAATTCCCAGCCCTCTCCGCCTCTGCCACCCCAAGCGTAAAATGGGGATAATAATACTTGCAGAAGCGTTAGGACTATTTAAATGTTTGTGACGAATTTTGAGCGTGAAAAGAGCTAAGTATTATTAAAACTCCATTTCTAATTGTTAGAGTAGGTGATGGCATAGTGACGTGGATAAGTGTTTAGTGTGTTCCTGGGCAGATTTTGAAAGCATGTTCGGTTTTAGCCGGTCCGTACTGCAATCTCTCCTCCACCAGTTGGGTTTAGGTTTTTGCCACGAATACTCCTTTTAAAATTTTGAAGCACAAATGATTCATCCTGGGTGATGGAAACATCCCTTTTGAAATACTGCCTGTTTTATAAAGAATTAGTTGAGAAAATTAATTTTTTTAAAGACAACTTTCTTTAAATTGGTTCTCTTTATTACAACAATTGAGAGTTTTATGTTAAGATTTTCAGCGATTTTTACTACTTGTAAACAAACAGAATTTTAAATTTCATCCCATTCCTAATAAAGAAAAAAAATGCTGTATAGCATGAATTGTCAGGAAGAATTTTGATGTTGCATGAAAAACACCAAAAAAGTTTTCAATAATATTGTACTGAGTAAATAACCAAAAGAGCGTAGGGTATTTCTACATCAGCGTACAGTATGTTTTTAATGTATTTATTGACGGTTTGTAGTTGTTGAATATCTCTTACTACAATACAGGCATTTTTCTAGCCAAATGTCATCACTGTATACGTAAACTAATGTAAGAATAAATAATTTTACCATCCTTCTGGAGTGAGTGTGGCTTATATTCCTTTTGGCTGGATTTAAGCAGAGTTTTTAGAAGGATGTAGAGTACTGGGTATTTGCACCCAAAACTTTGTTTACAATCAAAAAAAAGCCCGACATGGCTTTAGATTAAGAATCAACGTGCTTCACAGATATTTTGATTTATACTTGAATATCTTAAAGCAGCTGCACATAAAAGTTCAGTAAATTCTAAGCTAAGCTAGATCAGGTGAAGATCCATGAGGTCCGAGGATCCATCGGAGTCAAACCAGGATGTTATTTCTGTTTGGAGCAGGTTTGGGTTCAGCTGAGGTTGGATTTGTTTCAGTTCAGGCCAGTAAAAGAGGAATTGTTTCAGTATCCCGTGATTACTTCATAATTGAGAACATGGTATTTCAAAAATGGGAATGGAAAACTTGGCGGGGTTAAGCCCAAAGCGATAGAAATCAGCTTGGGAAAAATGTTAGCCTCTGACTCCCGTTCCTCTGTGAGAGCTCAAACACCCACTCAGCGCCACGGGGTGCCCCAGTTCCGTATATACGGCACATAGGGTGGAGGTGACGGACAGCCTTAGCACTGTGCTGCTGCGGGCGGGGCGAGAGCCGCCTTCACACTGCGAGAGGGAGTGGGAAACGAGGTCCCAGGGCAGGACTCGAGCTCCCTTAGTTGATTTACAGCCAACTCTGCTTGACTCACGTCTGCGTGTGTGGAGATAAAGACATGCAGGACTGTGTCCGTGTCCTGGTGCACAACAACGGGATGGCGGGGGAAGCTTGGGCCGGGGGGCTCTCCATTGCAGGAGCCACAGCTGGACATGGCTCACCCAGAGCTGTTCCTTGGGACCTGTGGGAAGTCCGTGCACAGGGCCACAGACCATTAGGGCCAGTTGCAGAGCTGAACAGCGGGGCAGCACCAAGCAGAGGCAATGGCCCGTGCCGGCCAGGCAGGGTGGGCAGTGTGGTGAGAAACGTGGGGAGCAGAGGACACTTCTGCGGACCCTGGGAAGCACGAACAAGCCTTGTTTGGAACAGGCTCCCGTAGCAGGAGCCGTTAATTTTCTGAACGGGTACATGGAATAAGTAACTTTTGCTTCAGTTGCAGGCGAGGTTCAGCAAAGGCTTCAAAACACCCATTCAAGCCCAGCATACAGGTCAGGTAGGAGTTCAAGCGCAGATAAGTTTGGGCTTGCGTCCCCCCCTCGCAGGAGGCGCCTGGCCAAGTTGGCAGCACTGTGCAGGAGCCCCAGGCTTTGGGGTGGCGGGGGCAGGCCGGCAGGCTCCCTTTCCGTGGCCGCCCGGCGCCCTCGCCCGAGGCGCCCACCCAAGCGCGGGGAAGGCCGAGGGCGGAGGCGCCTCGGCCCCTGGAAGCCCTCAGCCCCGAGGAGAGGTGCCGGCCGAGCAGGGGCTGCAGGCCAGATAACCGCCCTCCCGTCACCGACTACCCGGACAGGA